TTAACTTTACGTGAAATCAATTAATGAGTACAATGAAAAAACGAAAATAAATAAATGAACTGATAATTGCAATTAATAAATTCAATTTTTAGACAAGAAATGAAAGTTTTCTTTTAAAAGAATAATTTTAAAAATTATATTTATTAAATATCATTCATACTTAATATGTTTGTAGATAAAATAAATATATCAATTTCATTACAAATATATCAAATTAATTTTAATTACCAAATATAGTATTACAAGTTCTTGTTTTTAGCATTTGTTTGCTTAGAAACTGGAAATTAAAGTATAGTATTTTAAGATGAATGAAAATGAAATTTTATATTTTTTTTTTTTTTATATATTTTGTAAAATGATCTCTTCCACTCCTCCACACATTCACATTCGTAAGCAAACGATTACTCAATTTAACTTCGTTCTTTTTTTTTTTTTTTCGTTTTTCTTTTTTTATATATTAAAAAAAAATGTTAAATGTAAGCTTCAATGGTGCGTAACTTAATTTAACTTACTTATAAAGTAATATGAAGAAATAAAGTAATATGAAGAATGTCAACGAATTACTTTAATTCATCTAAAAATATTACGAAAATTTTGCATTTATTAAATTTCAATTTATTCGATAATAAATTTTCATACTTTTGAAATGATTATGAAATAAGCTTAAAGTATGAATATAAAAGCAAAAAAAAAAAAAATTTTTATATAACTATAAGAATAATAAATTGCTATAAGAATATTTAATATTTCAAAAATTTACATTATATTTATAACAATATTTATAGCTAAGATAAATAAATATTAATTTATAACAAATTTATAATAATATTTATAGCATAAATAGGTTTAAGAATATATTATAACTAGCTAAATAGGATTTATTTAAATAAATATAAATTTAAATAGGCATTATAAAACAAATTTATAATAATATTTATAGCAGGCATTATATTTATAACAAATTTATAATAATATTTATAGCAAAAATAAGATAAATAAATATATAAATAAATAAATAGGCATTATATTTATAACAAATTTATAATAATATTTATAGCAAAAATAAGAAAAAAATAAATAAATAAATAGGCATTATATTTATAACAAAAAATAAGATAAATAAATATAAAAAAAATAAATAAATAAATAGGCATTATATTTATAACAAATTTATAATAATATTTATAGCAAAAAATAAAATAAATAAATATAAAAAAAATAAATAAATAAATAGGCATTATATTTATAACAAATTTATAATAATATTTATAACAAAAAATAAAATAAATAAATATAAAAAAAATAAATAAATAAATAGGCATTATATTTATAACAAATTTATAATAATATTTATAGCAAAAAATAAGATAAATAAATATAAAAAAAATAAATAAATAAATAGGCATTATATTTATAACAAATTTATAATAATATTTATAGCAAAAAATAAAATAAATAAATAAATAGGCATTATATTTATAACAAATTTATAATAATATTTATAGCAAAAAATAAAATAAATATAAAAAAATAAATAGGATAGACAAAAAATGAATAAACATTTTTTAATATAAATAATAAATAATTGCTATATTACTTATTTCTTTTATTTTTAGGTGTAAAATTGAAAAAGAAAATTTTTTTTAAAAGTATTATAAATTCACAGTCAGAGCTCTTAGTATTATAGTTTTGTTCAAAATTTGAAATCTGAATAAATGGAAGAGACATACTGATTTTACATAATTAATTCAGCACAGAAATATTATTCTATTATCAGAAAAGATTCTATTATCAGTAAAATAGCTGAATTTTAATATATAATTTTAAATAAATGCAAAAAAAAAGAGAAAAAAATTATGCAATCATTGATGAAATGAAAATAGCAATTAATTGAAATATTTATTCAATTAATTGAATTCAATTAAATTGAAATATTTAAAAAAAAAAAAAGAAAGAACTACAACCAGTACTAAACTAAATAAACATTTCGGAATATTATTTTTAAATCAAATAAAAAGTGAAATTTAATCTCGAGATCGAAAGAAATACATCGGAAAAATTTTGAAATGATGAATTTTAAAAGAAAATATTAATAATTATGATATCAAATGAAATAATATAAATATATTTTCACGTCCTACGTACGTATATCAAATGTATTCATAATTTGGTAATTTAAAAAAGAATGCAAATATGTAATTTAAAAAAAAAAAACGAAAAACAATAGATAAACATATATATTCAAAATAATTTAATTTTTTTTTTTTTTTGAATTACATTTAGATTTTGTAAAATTTTTGTGAAATTATTTGTTACTTTGATTAAACAAATTGACAAAAAAAAAAGATTGAAAAACTAAGTGAATGAAATAATTTTCAAATTTTAAAAGATTGAGAATTCGTAGTTAAATTTAAACAAAATTACCGCAAGTTAAAATGGATGAAAAAAGAAAGATTTAATAGGAAAAGAAAAGTAAAAATAATAAGTAAATATTAGAAAAATATTATCTTTTTAATATTTATTAATATTTTTATTTTTTTAAAATAAAAAATAAAAAAATATATCTTTTTTCTTTTCTTATTTAATTCTGCTTGTTATTTCAAAATTAAAAAGAATAACTTTGAATATTTGATAAGAAGTTAAAAAGATTTCTTATATTTATTGCATTTTAATAAATAATTTGAAAGTGTTTAGTAGTATTATATAATTTTATAAGTATTATATTATTATTTTTTGTAATCTATTTTTTAATTTTTTACCTTTCGCAAAATCAATTCAGTATATATATATTTTATTTATAAACTGAATGATTGAATAATTCAATTTGCTTGGATATTAATTTGAGAAATTTTTAATGAAAGATTAAAAAATAGAAATTTCAGTAGTAAAATTTAACTATTTGAGTTAGCTAAACTCAAATAGATTTTTAATAATAAAATGATAATTGTACAAAGTTCTGTTTTATGTTTAACAATTTTTAATTATTCGAATTAATTTACTCAAATAGCAATAAATAATAATATTTGTGACAAAAAAACAATTTAAGTATAGTAGTTTCGTTCAGCTATTAAATATTAATTTGAATTTTAACAAAAAAAAAGACATCGATCACAAGATGAATAAATTTTTAAATGAATTAAAGAAATCGTTAAACGATTAAAATTAGATTCCGGAAATTAATTGAATTAATTAGAAAAACTCCTAATGAAAAATATATTAAAAAAACTACAGAAATGATATTTGATAAATTTTGAAATGAACTTAAATAACTAAAACAGAGTAAAATTTTTAAAAAATAGTTTAAAAAAAATGTTAAAATGATTGTTTCAAAATATTCAAATTAAAATGAAAAAATGAAAAGATTTTTTCTTTTTTCTAATCAATTCTAATGCGATGCATTTAGTTATTTTGGTGAAATTATCACATTTCTGAATTAACTGAAAGTAAAATGATATCATATCATTATCATATCTCTTAATAGCATTATAATAGCACTATTTGAAATGTTAATAAATACTGTTAAAAAAAAATAAAATTAAAATAAAACTTTTAAAATTATCACTAAATTCAAGCATTTGTCATATGTAAAATTGTCATATGATCAGCGCTAATATTTTTTAAATGATCTAAAAACAAAAACAAAGGCTCACATTTCACTTTGTTATCACTAATTGCTCATATCATTGTGATTATCAGTCAGCAAATCGCCTTATTTCAGCTAACACTTAAATGTGCTTAAAGATAAGTAAAAGTATGTTAGCCTATAATTTAATCCACACTTCAGACTTTCATAGTTTGCCCATATTTAAAGTAATGAGCAAAGATTACTCTATTCTGTTAATGTCAGGGTAAACAGACCATTGCATGGGCTGTCCCACTTACCCGTCAACCAATTTTCAGTATATCCGTTCAACTGTTAACTCCTTTGAGGATTTAAGCATAAAATATCGATATATTTCATTATTTCTCACATTTTCATTTCATCTTAATTAGCTAATGGAATTATGCAATAATTTAAACAATGCTACTTTTATGTAAGAGCTTCACTAACTTTATAAAATTCTCGAAATGATACTACTTTGAAGAGTTAACTTTCTAAAATACTCAAATGATGCTAATTTAAAAATTCTAAAATTATATGCATAAATGAAATAGAATTTAAATTAATGGTAATAAATATCTTTTACTAAACGAAATATTACACTCAACAAGCATTTATATTGTAAGTTAAAATTAAAGAAAATTAAAAAATTAATTTTATAGTTCTATTTTTAAACTTTTGAGAAATAACAAATTTCCAAATGTATAAATTTTATTTTATGAAATAGAATTGCTACATATGAATACGATAACATTAATGATTTGATAATAGTGATAATCTGATCTCGAGAATTATCCCGAACTTTACGCCCATTTCTATTTATAATTTTCTAATTTCATCGATTTCATTAAAATGACGTTGGTTTAATCGAAATTAAATAAAAATACTATGTGCAATTGACAAATGTAAAATTTTTTAATTATAATTTCTCCTTTTCAGCATTCCATTTTCCTTATATCTATGAAAAGAAATAGCAAAAAAAAAAAAAAAAAAAAATTTAATTATAATTTTTGGAAGTCAGCAATGCTAAACGATTGGTGGAATTGATGATTCGCAGCTAATTCTGCATTTAATTTGAAAAAAATTTCAAGTGCAAACAAAAAAATCTTGAACTCTTCCTTCACAAAGATTAATCTCGACTTTCTTCTTCTTACCTCAGATGATGACTTTGAATAGTTGTACATTCATTGTGAATCAGAAAAGAAAAGTAAATACTAACTTTGTCAGATAATTAATTAATTATCATTCCAGCAAACTACAGCAATACATGTAGTAATTTATGAAGGAAACAAATATTTTGAAAGAAAACAATGAAAGATAGAAGAGTTAAAGTACTGTTTTAAATTAATTTAAAAAAAAAAAAAAATGTATGAACATTTGAAGTTATTTAGAAATACATTCAACTACCTACACTCGGTGAAAATAGTAAAGTGACTGCTTTACCGGTTGAATTAAAGAGCGGTGAGAATGCATACGGTGAAAAGATTAGTGCAGCACCGTAAGATGGCGAGAAAAAAGATGGTGACAAAGCAAATGGACTTGCAACTAAAGCGGTAAGTGATGGTGGTGAAAGGATGGAAGGGTTTAGAACAAATGGGCTCATAATAACGGGTGAAAGTATTGATGGTGATAAAATACCTGGTGATAATGCACTGGGTGATAAAATAGCCGGTACCAAAGCACCAGGACTTAAAATACCAGGACTGATAACTAGTGGTGATAGGATAATGGGAGAAAGTGCAATTGGTGACAGGATAGTTGGACTTAAGAGAGATGGAGAGAGAAGAATGGGTAAGAATGCACCTGGACTTAAGAGAGTGGCACCAAAAACTGACGGAGAGAAAAGTATTGGAGCGAATGCTACAGGTGATAAGAAGGATGGCTTTGTTGTTGGATAAAATGTTTTGTTATCAAAAGATAATGGAGTAAGTATGTTTTTCCGTCGTTTTCGACGTATTTTTAAGGAAGAATTCATCTTTGCCATATCACGGATATCACTGAGAATGTGACGGTGCATTTCATCTTCACTTAGTGACTGGAAGAAATTCAACGCTTTGCTGTCGTTTAAAGGTGAGTGTGGGCCATAGAACATTGTCAACTGCTTTGGAGTCATCATCGAGAATCCGGTTGTATTGAAGTCCGTTAACTGTAGTGTTTGTATTATTATTGACTGAAGTGAACAAAGAGTTTTCTCGAATTAAGAATATTAATAATTTTCATTCATCGACAACTCATCCGGTAATGACATCAAAATGAAAAAATAATAATTTTTCAAATACGAAAGTAATTTGAAAATTTGATTTTGTACTTTTTCCAAAAGATTTATTGCGAGGAAAACAATTCAACCTGTTTTGGCGTAAGTGAATGTGTCAAATTTTCGAAAAGTTCCACTTCCCTAGCTAATTCAGGATCAAATTCTGTCACGTTTTCCTTCGTAAAAAACATCGGTTGACCGTCTATTCCACGTGGCATTGATTTATAACCGGGTGGTAGCCAATCCAATTCATTCTTTTCCTGAATGTTTTTTCAGGAAATTATTAACTCATACTGGATACTTAATTGAAAACTCCTAATAAGGTATAGTAAGAGGTATTAATTGAAGACTTCTGATAAATCAGACCTTCAGTTTATGTATTGCATCAGTTGTACCGGATGCTTCTATAATGAAGCTTAGCCATTCTTCGTAATCCCTGTTGCCGGCAGCTTTCAGTAATCCCGGAACACTAGTTAGTGCTTCTAAGCCTTTGCCTTTATCATGCATGCTGAGCAGTGACGGAGATAAGATGTTAATCTGAAAAGAAAACTTTTTATTTTGCTCTCAGATCGCTGAGACGTAAGACTTCAGACGGTTAACGGTGCAAAAAGCGAAACATCCGGAATAATTCAATGTTCAGCAAGCATACCTGATCATTAACATTGTCAGGTACCAATGATAACAGACGCGGTGAACCAAATCTGAGTGTCTTATTTTCTAATTTGGTACCATTGGCACCATTAAGTACCATCGCAAGTTTAATTGCTCGTTTAAAGAGTTGAATAATTTCCAAAGTTTTTTTTGTTTTCATACTGTTTTTATCCAAACCTTGCAGAAGATGATTCGATATATGTAATTCCTTCGCTAAGAGTTTTTCTTCCTGAAAGAATAAAATTAAATAAAATTAAAGTTTTACATTTCGAGATTGAACAATCCGTTTTGTATCATAAATAATCTATTGAAATAGGAATCGATTAAAGATACTCAATTTATTTATCAAAATTATTGAATTCAATCCGACAATTTGCTTAAAAGTGCTCACTGGTGTTAATTTAGGTTCCGCATTTTTGAAACTGAATTGAAATCGTTTCTGTAATTTCTCAGCGAAATCATTTTTTTCTTGTTCTCGTCGTTTTAAACTTTCGATTTCATACATCGTTTTCTTCCATCTAAATTACTGTTTTGAAATGGAACTAAAAATGATTTTACATTGCTTAGTTCATTTCAGTCTCATTTGACATAAATTGTAGTGAAGTTTTAGTGTCGCCAAACTTCAAAATATTTAAAAAAAAATAAATGAACGTAAAAAAACAAACAAATAAAAAAGCAATACTGTAAATATGTTTACAGTTGAAATCTTTTATTTCCAATCCTATGTTTCTACCGTGAATCTTTCATACATTACTTTTCCCACTTAATTTTTACCTTTTCCTTTCTTTGTTTACATTTTTTTTTTTTTTGTTTATATATGACAATCCATGAAGTCTAATAAAGAATTTCCAATTCAACAATACACACATATGTTATGCTAAAACAATTTTAGAACCAGAAAAAATTGATCTCCTCGACTTTGTAAATTTTATTGTACATATAAACAAGAAGCAAATCTCTCTCAAATAATACTTTTTTCTTTTTTGCCATAACGATAATTTCATTTTTCATAGTGATAAGTTCAAAGAAAATTACTGCAAAACTTAAAACTAACGATGAATTCGGCTCCTTATTTTTGATAATTCTTGTCATCTTCGATAAGTGTTTGCCGAGAATACCAAAGGGTGTCAAATGGTCGTATTCAGTGTGTAATTTATAACTGTTTCGATTGATTACACTTCGCCGTGTTCGGAATTCCACCTGTTCCCTTTTCCTGCTTCGATTGAAATCGATGTGATGTGATTCAGATTGGATTATAGCACCGTCTATCTTCTGTTTTCCATCCATTAATTTTTGCAGCTTTTGCATATGTGAAACTGTACGAGGAGAAGAATGCTAATTAATATTAATTAATTAATTAATTAAATTAACATCAATTTAAGTAATAACTACCTATACTATGCATCCAATACAAGTATTTCTATTGATTTTTAAATATTGAAGTGATTATATCTTCCATCAGAAGTGTGAACAGTTGCACTAATAGTTGACGTAAGTGTGTTTTAAGACGTGAAACGATACTTCTTGTAGGATCCATCTGTTTCGGTTTTGCATCAATGGCTCGGACTACACATCTTGCCTGTTCATAAATGTCCTGAGCGGCTTGTGAACACTTTTGCACTCGATTCCGTTCATATTCGTTTAATTTGCTTAGGCTGAAGTAAACATTTTTCTAAAGAATGTTAATTTCAAAATGAAAATAATATTTGGATGTGAAATCGAGATCAACAACTGAGTTTTATATTTCTTTTTGTGCTCCTCCTGTCTCTTTTTTCCGTTCAAAGAGAATTTCCTGATCTACAAAAAGCCAATTTATGTTTAAATTCATGCATGTCACACATGAGAGTACAGATGACAAGAACGAACTAACCGTTGGGTGGCAATACAAGCCATCATACTGCTTATTCCCTGATGAATCCATCGTTCAATGAGTTCAACTGCAGCCTCTTTTGAAATTGGAATATTTAACTTCTTACCATCATAATATTGTGCACCTGGCATTGTTTCTCGCGTGTATTGGATAGAACTTGAAACCGGTCCAACGATGATGCCTTAATAGGTGGAAGGTACACGGCTATCATCATAATAACGTGTGTCATCGGAACACATGTCGCAAATCTTGTGAACAGTTCAAGCGAACTTCAACTTACAAGCTATCCATGTCACAAATCTTGTGAAGAGTTCAAGCGAACTTCAACTTACAAGCTATCCATGTCACAAATCTTGTGAAGAGTTCAAGCGAACTTCAACTTACAAGCTATCCATATCGCAAATCTTGTGAACAGTTCAAGCGAACTTCAACTTACAAGCTATCCATGTCACAAATCTTGTGAAGAGTTCAAGCGAACTTCAACTTACAAGCTATCCATATCGCAAATCTTGTGAACAGTTCAAGCGAACTTCAACTTACAAGCTATCCATATCGCAAATCTTGTGAACAGTTCAAGCGAACTTCAACTTACAAGCTATCCATATCGCAAATCTTGTGAACAGTTCAAGCGAACTTCAACTTACAAGCTATCCATATCGCAAATCTTGTGAACAGTTCAAGCGAACTTCAACTTACAAGCTATCCATATCGCAAATCTTGTGAAGAGTTCAAGCGAACTTCAACTTACAAGCTATCCATGTCGCAAATCTTGTGAAGAGTTCAAGCGAACTTCAACTTACAAGCTATCCATGTCGCAAATCTTGTGAAGAGTTCAAGCGAACTTCAACTTACAAGCTATCCATGTCGCAAATCTTGTGAACAGTTCAAGCGAACTTCAACTTACAAGCTATCCATATCGCAAGCAGTGTCGCACTCTGATGTTGGTAAATTCTCATTGATCAATGTGTGAAAAAATTGTTATTCCAAGAGACAGTAACCTGGAAAATTAAACAGTTTATCAATTTGACATTTTCTACTAAAAAGTATAATTCGCAAACATTCGCAAATGATTCGCTTTAGTAGAAGGAAATCTCGAATGCGACAGTACTCAGAAATCTCCAATGAATCAATGAATAGTTGAATTATTAGTCGATGGATGAATAGATAGAAATTAAAAATGAAAAAAATAAAATTAAAATAAAGCTTGAAAGGCAAGATTGTAGTACATATAAAAAGACGATAAAGATCAAAATGTTAAAGGTCAAAGTATCATTCGAAATTGATCAAAGCATTTTAAAAAAAATTTATTTCATTTAGCTAATGCTTTCATTTGATATCGAAATGTGTTCTGTTGCTATCTGATTGAAATATTTCATTGTTTTTTTTTTTTCAATTTATCAAAAAGGAAATTTTCTTATCAGTAATTTCTTTTGCGTATATTTCAAAAAGTTCAGTTTAAAAAGAACAATTTGCAATTGAATGAAATTTCTCATACGGAATGGATGATTAAATAATTAATTTGATAAGAAATACTACAGTTGAAAATTTATAAATCTTATTGTATTAGTTTGAAATTTCAAAATTATTTTAAATTATTTCAAAATCAGTTCTTTTTCACAAATTATTAAAAAAGGAAGCAATGAGAAGATGAAAATCCATGGTTCATTTAATTGGATGAAATTATCAAATATCAAAGAATCTCACATTATCATATTATCAGTAACTGAACTTACTAATTTAGTAAAAGTAAAAAAAAAAAAGTAACTTAGTAAGAAGATATCAATTTTTGAAACGACGAATATAATTTCAAAAATAGTTCTTACATTTGCACATATTAATCAAATGATTAGTTCGATAGCATTTGCAATATTTAGGTCAAAATAATTTTAATTATTATTAATAAGACAGCAGAAATTGTAGAAACGAATAGAACAACGATAGAGCAAAATGAAATTTCTTTTCTTTAATTCCTATTTCAACGTTTATCTCATCAAAATTGAAATATTTTAATAAAATGAAAATTTTGAAATAATCAAAATAAATTTATTACAATGAAATTTGTGATAAAATGATTTAAAATAATTAATATAATTAATGATAAAATATTTTTCAAAATTTATACTAAAATAGCTGTTTTATTTAACTTTTTGATATTCATTACAGAAAATGAATATAAAATAATTATTTTGATGTGAAACATAATAAATGAATGCCTATAGTTCAAATATTGTGAATATTTAATAAAATAATTACCAAATAAAATCCAACAAAATAATTTTTCATTTTTCATTTAATGTTAAAATATTTTTCCCTTCTTTGTGACACTTTCAGTTTCACAAAAGAATTTAAAAAAAAAAAGAAAAAAACTTTGTTGTAAACCAATTTCTATTATATATGAAACTAAAATAATTTGCTAATAACACTTACATTTATCATTTTTGCTACAAAAAAGCTCACTTAAATTCGGTTCAAATTAATATTTCAAATTCATAATCCTTGTCAAATCTAATTTTTTCTCGAAGAAAATTAGTCTAACGATTGATCAATCTAGCGATCAAATATTTTCTAATAATTTTATTAGTCAATAAAATCTTTATGAGACAAATATTCGTTAGTGATAACAACGAACGATCACAAAACAAAATTTTCATAAAAATTATTACTTGGTGCATTAATTTAAGATAGAGTAAAGATTTTGTTTATTGTTTATTGTTTTTTTTTTTTTGTTTGGTCTCTATTATTTCAAGATTTTAAAGCTGATTTGATGGATATCCTTTTCTGGAATTCCAATTAACTTCAAAAATTTTCTTCAACTGGCATACACACCTGTTCAGGAATGATTTTGTTGATTGGAAGAAATTTTTTCTGATAGAAATAATTCTAATTTTAGAAATGCTTTTTCAATTGTAAAATGTTATTATTGTATTCTTTATCGTTTTAAGTTCAACTCAAATATTTGCTAAGTTTGATACGAAATAAAATATCAAACTTATTTCTAAATCTGGGAATGCGATCAGACCGGAAATGACTTATGTATAAAGTCAACCGGATTCATTGCTGAGGTTACTTCTTCAATTATATTAAATTCCATTTGTTCTTGAATAAATTTTATTGTAACGATTGAGAAATAATTAATTTATCACTATGAAGACATCTAATTAATGGTTTTTAATCTTCCGATCAAAGGTCATTGTTTTATTTTTTTTTTTTCAAAGGTCAAATTTGTTTCATTTTTTGCTTTTTTTAGGTGAAAAACTGAAAAAGTCATTTTTGATTATAACATTTCATATCATTTCTTTTTTGAAGGTTTATCATAATTATCATTTAGACAAATCTTTGAACTTTTCCAGGGCCAAGATACTTGATATTTTTTCTATTTTGTTTAATGATTGTTCCTTTGAAATACGTTAACTGTTAATCGTTATCATAATTTGCTCTATTAAATCGCTCTCGAATATTTTATTTTTCCAGAATTTTTCTCTTTTGAATCTTTTATTTCTAGAATTTTTCAAATTTCTGAGATTATGGTGACATTGTTTACCATTCGTCGATTTGGATTTCATAGCAGTTACGCTTAATTTATTTTTGTTTACCTTTGTTATAATTGTGAAATGTGCTTTCAGTTATTATAGAATTAATCATTTCTCATCAAAGAAATAAAATTTTAAAATTTGTTTCATTTTTTTTCTTTTTTTTTTTGGATGAAAAACTGAACATTTCAAATCATTTTTTTTTTTTTTTTTAAAGATTTATCATATTTTTCTCATAAAATACCATAAAAGCGTAAAAATTATGCAAACAAAAATGATTAATAAAATGATAATAATGAAGTACGAATCATTTATTTATATTATTCATATAGTTTTTCTTTATCTAATCAAGTTAAAATTATTTTTTTGATAATTAAATAAAACTTAAAAAAGAAATAATTTATGTTTATTTAAACATTGTGAAAGTTAATACTTTGAAAGTTAATACTGGAATATGTATTATTTATTTAAAAAGGCCAATTAATTAATGAAAAAAAAAAATTATTGGAAAAAATATATGTTTGATTTTCTTTTTAAATATTTAACATATTTCTTTTTCGAAATTGAAACAAAAATTTTCTGAAATTCCTTCAACAACTTTTTATTATTAGTATGATTGTAAAAGATTTTTTATTGAATAATTTGAAATATTTATTACCAAAAATATTGACAAAATCGGTTCATAAATAAATTTTGCTTTAATATCAATTCGTTAAATTTTTACATTAAATTTAATAATACATAAGTTAAATTATAATATTTGAAAGTAAAAAAAAAAATCTGATGAAATTATGATAATTCAAAATTATTCATAAAATAATTCATTAAGTTTTTTATCAAGTTATTATTATTATTACTATGCTTTTATTGCTGACAATTTAAAACTAATTTATTTTTGCAATAATTAATATAAGTATGATTAATTAGACTTCAATGAGTGTTTTCTGGTATAAAAAGTTTTTTTAAATTTAATCACAATGACAACAACAACAACAACAACAACAACAAAAACACAACAAAAAAAAGGAAATGATAAAGTAGCAAATTTAATTTTTTTTTTTTTTGAATCAATGAATTAAAAACATTTGAAATTGATGATTAATGAATGTTCAAGAAAATTTTCAAATCATTATTTAAACTGATGCTTTAATTTACTTTGCTTTTCTTCTAACTAACTAATTACACCATTGAATAATGATCTCATCTCGAAGTATCATTTGCTTGCTAGCAATTATTTTAACACCAACTGCTTTCTCATCTTCAATTGTACGTTTTTCGTTTTCTTTCCTTTTTATTGAAAAAAAAAAATGAATTAAATTTGTGATTGAAAAAGTTATATTAATGAATGTGAAATAGATATGAAATTATGCAAATTTAAAATTTAAATTAACAATGATTTATCTAAGTTTGGAATCTAAATAGCTGTTAAATTGTATAAAGTTTGAATGTAAGTAAAGCTAAATATTTAGGGGATAAAATTCAAGTCATTACTAAATTATACGATGTTGGAATCGATTTATTATACGAGCGAAGAATAGTGAATAAAGTAATAAATTAATTCTGAATTAAGTAGTGAATTAAGTATAGAATTAATTCTGAAC